GCTGAACCGACTTTAGTTACACAGTTGAAGCCACAGACATTTTAGCCAAGTGGCTTAGTTGTTTGAGGCCGAGACTGAGCTGCTTTTAATTTATATGGCCAAAAAGGTTGACACGCAAACAACAAAACGGAGCCAAGCGAGAAGAGTTCTTCTTCCATGGTACAAAAAGGATCCATAAATTTTCCCACTTAATCAGCGGGCGGTTGCTCTTGATGCTGATTCGAGGTCGCCTGTTGGTGCCTGTGGCGTATACATAATGTGGACAATGAGGCGTGTAAACGTATTTTTCTGCGCTTACGGCCAAGAGGTTTTTCCGGAGGCTAAAGGTAATCATGAGGTGGCTGACAATGGGCAATGGATAATCACGTTGAATACAGAGAGAAAAATTGTGGGAAATGCTAAACTGATTTAAATTCGAATTAAAATTTATAGTTCAGTAAAACTTTTGAGGGTTGCATTTTATTGGATTTAGTTGAAGTAATAAAATAAGTATTTCTTTTTCTGGAATAATCGTTTTCAGAACTTCCACTGATTTTAATGTTATGATGTTAGTTTTTAGTGCTTTACTTAGTTGTTTTTAGCAATATTCTTATGTTTCTCTGTAAACAAAGCTTATAAATGTTGCAGCAAGGGCGAATGGAGAACAATTAACTGTCAGCGGTTGTTCCCGATAATGCAAACTAATTTCAATGTCGCCCAAGGAGGACAGAAGGGCGTAATCCCCATTGCAGGCGACCCAAACGAACCCTCATGAATGTACAGCACGCATATAATTTTTCATTGAGCTGATGCGGATATAATCCCCGGTTGGGAGCAAATGGAAAACAGAAGCTCCAGCACAATGGCCCTTAGAATCCGCTGCCATCCGCCGGATGATGCGTCCGTATCTTGGCCATTAATGCTGATTATACGCTAATGTCAGAGGGCTCCGGCTTAAACAGTAGTCGATGGAGGAGCCGCTGCAGCCACAATGCAATTTAGCTGCTTTAAGTGGCAAAAAGTTTGCAATTCGCAAATCGCCGGGGCAGGTGGCTGTGCCTTCCCCGGGATAATTATAATGCCATTAGCATGTTTAGTCCACAATCAGATTTGGCCGGGCTTTTCCCCCTTAGGAGTCTGCTTAAATTGGCTGCGGTCGCGGTAATCCTGTCGAGCTCTTCTCGTCCTCGTCCTCCCTTCGTTTCCCCCTTGCTTGTCATGCAAATCCTAATAGAAAGTTAAATGTTTATTTACGCAGCCAAGGCAGCCGAGTGGCTGGGCGTGGCCGTGGCCCCCAAACTATTTTGTCGCATTTTGCATATTGCAAATAGCCAAAGAACACCCTCGGTTAACCCCCGCTTGTCCCCGTTTCGCTGGCCTTTTGGGCCAAAGCAATTTCAACTTTCCATTCAAGGGAGGGGGCAGCCGTTTCTTTTTTCCGGCTTTATCCCCACATGAATTCCTAAAGCGGATTTCGTTACTGAACGCAGGATCTCTGAATGCTGCTGTAATTTAAGCGACAGTCAGCAGAAAATTGCGTCAGTGTTGGTGGTTCAGGACATGTTGGGGATTCGCCAGACCATATAACTCATGTGTTATAGAATGTGCTTTCGAAAATTTTATCAGCTATTTGTTAAATCTTGCATCCATGCAATGAAAATTGTAAAATGTTTAGAATGTGATTCCAATTTGCAGTTGCCCAAGTCTTTATTCAAAGTTCCTCGCTAAGTTCATTAATTAAATGCCAAAATCAGGCTTGGTTCCAATCCGGTCCTTCCTTGACAATGTTTATTTAAGTGGACTCTGGCGGAAACTTGCTTAAAATTGAGTTTGCCAAAACAATTCCCTACTTCATCTGCTTCCATTTGCGTTTCCATTTAATTTGGCCTGCACTTCTGGCCCGAATGCAGTTGCTGCCGGCTGAGTCATGCGCCATTTCTAGCCGGCTTCCAATTGTTCGACTTCCTCTCGACTTTTGGCTTTCCAACACGCGCCGGGCCTTTCCTTTTGGCCATTTCGCCGCTTGGCAGTGACACAAATCGCTGAATACCTTCTAAGGAGTGCGACCTTTGTCTGAACTTCAAGGATCCCTATTTATTCGAGCCGGAGCCAAGAATAAATGTTGGCAGACAGGAAGGAGAGCGGTAACTTATTTTCGTTTGCCAACGCATTGAAGTCTTCCACTCGATTTGCAATCCAAGTTGGTCGTTGCCAAAAACCGGGCCCGCTTAACTGAAACTGGTAGAAAGTTCCGCCTCCCCCAAGCTGTTTACCCTAACGCATCACTAAGCGCGCTGCACAAAAATAAATGTTCACAAACTTGCAGGTGAACTTCGCTGGCGTCCTTCTTTCCCCCGTCCCCTTTATCGTTTAAAATTAGCAGGCGACAAACTGTTGATTCTGCTTGGAAAACACAAAGAGGGGAGAGATGAAGGAGGAGCTTATATATCGAGCGACCCTATCATATCAGCCTTTCACACAAAAGCCTAACCAGATCCCGGGGCCACGGACTCATTCAACTTTACGCTAATGTCACATGCTTTGATTACTGCGCCGTGAAATTTTATTGATTGGCCAGCCAGCGTCACATGAGCGGTGGAAACCAGTCGGGTCCTGAGTCGACAAACCCGTCCACCTTCCCATCGGCACTTACGTCCATATCCCATATCCACATTCTGGGCACCTGGCAAGCCATCAGATTGAATGCACTCGCTGAGGCGAGCAATTCGAAGATGCTTCGCAAATGCAGCCGATAAGTGGGGCTCTCAAAAGGTTTCGTTCCCTTTAGCTGATGGTTCCTCTTTCTGTTGACATTCCAATTTGACGAGCGATTTCAAGAGTCACTTTTCGCAGGATATTTTATTGTATTCAATGCTAATTATGTTAAAATGTTGGGTTTTAACTTTAAGGATATTTAGCTCAAAATAGAATAGAAAATCTCATATATAATATAATAATTAAACACACAACAATAATTTAAACTACATATATGTAAAAATTTTTTTAATTTCAGTTTCTGAAATGCGCGTCCCTGGAACGATTTTAATTAAAAAATAAAATTTTTATATTAACTAATCAGTAAACATTTAAGTGGAACATTTAAAACGAAATTTAACATTTTTTAAGTTATACTCAAATGGTTTGTCGCAACGCAGTCACATAAGTTATATGCCTGAATGCCTCTTTTTCTTCCGTAAGTCCATGTGTTCAATTTCACTTACGATGTCCTTCACACCGGTTGCTTGTGTATACGTTCGCGGTCACAATTATAGACCTTCAAGGTATCACCATAACATTTATGATTATTTCGGATTATAAATGAAATAATAAACTTTATTCTTTAAAAAAAAATCTCTTGCATTAAACAGTGATACATATTTGGTATTTTTGAGTTGTGCTATTATCCTATCTGTATCTGTAGGAAGTACTACATGTATTTCCTCATGAGTTCGAGCCGTAAGAGCATATTAACCGTGGCTGGAGGTTCGTTCCGGTCGTGAATTGTATGTGTAATTTGTAAGGATGGGAAAAGGACCCCGAAAAGTGTCCTGCATGGAAGGTACTTTTTATCTACAGCCCCGCTTGACAGCTGGAGATTTTGCTTTGGCCCCCACCTCCACTGATTGCTTACAATGTACTGGCCAGGAACCACGCCCCCATTTCGTTTTTTTTTACAAAAAATGCGAAAATCCCTGTTGGAGCAACCGTTGTCGCCGGCTTCGTCATCGCAGCTAAAATTGAATTGGAATTGCTTCAGCTCCAATGGCAGGCAAACGACAGGCAATCTGTTGAGTCGCTTCTGATTGAATGGGGGACCCAAACCCAAGGTCGAGCGTGGGAAGGGGGAGGGCCAATGGGTGGCAGCAGGAGAAATGCGGAACGAATGCGCGTAATGCGCTTCGATGGATTGAATCCCGAGCCAGCGACTGAATGCCGTGCCGAGATACGAGTGCGATTTAATGAGAATATGTTGTGCGACAAGCTCCATCATCATTATCTGTCATTTTCGGTAAATTCACGGGAATCATCGATCCGTGGAACATCTTTTAAGGCGTTACGGCCTTGTGAAGGTTGCCTAGCAGGGAGAAAGAAATAATATTTAAAAAACCTATATACGTGCGTGTTTGTACCAAGATCAAAATATTTATCTTAGTAATTAGCAGTCAAGAGCTAAAAATATGAACGAAAACAACTATATTACATTTCTTTACAACAAATTATTATACAGTACGTATTGGTATACCATAGCATTTATAAAGTACAGATTTATTAATTAATTTATATCGCTTTTGATTTAATTTTTAAAAAATTCAACATTTTACATTTCCTTAAAACATATTAAAATGTACCATACACCCATTTTTTACTGTATTTCCATTAGCGGGGACTATTTAAAACGAATCAGAAACGACACACATCGAATTGGCCCAATTGTAATTACAATTAGCGCAATTATGATAAAACGCCAGCAAACATTCCCGCGTCGATAAGCAGATTCCAAATAAAGGTAGCAACTGAGATAAAGAAAACATATGTATAGAAAGGTATTTTTCTGTTAATAATTTGACTTGTGTGTGGGCGAATCATTTGTGTAAACAATGAAAGATACAAAAATACAGTATAAAAGCTAATTGAAAGGTGCGCTCTCTAATTTGAATGTGCGGTCAAGGCGCTCAGCTGTTTGGCGTTTAACAACACCGGTTTTGTTTCTTACTGTGTGCAGTTTGCGCGAGGAAGAAGGGTAGAGCGAATCAGGGAGCTGCTAGGGTTGTTAGGTGAGTCCAGAAGGAAACCTGGCTTGTTTGTTGCTTACTCTGCCTGTAACAAAAAATTTCTTTAACACGTAACAAATAAAAACTTTTTGGTAATAGACCTGCAAGTGCATAATTTTCCAAAAAAAAAATTTTTTCAATAAATAATAATATTCTATGTAAAATGTACTGACAACCCTGCTGCTCTCTTGCGCCGTCGCTCTCGCTCTCTCGCGCCCACGTCATCAGCTGTGGCCCACTAACAACAACGTTCGTCACAGATGTATTTTCGTGTTGTTGCTGGTTGCATTGAATTTCCCCAACTGCAGGCTAAAAAACAAATAAATGAGGCAATTGGTGCCAAACATTCCGCGACCACGCAACAAATAGCAGCCAAGCAGCACGTGCCACTTGTGCCAAAAATAAAACCGGAGGAAAAAGGCGGCGAAATCGGTTTTCCTCGCTTGTGACATTGAACAACATTCGCGGGTGCAAAAATAAATCTAGGAAATAAAACCCACACAAATAAAAAGCGATATCAGCTGTTCACCAAGTGCGTGCCACGGAAAAAATTCATTATTAATTGTGCCATCGGGCAGAGAGGTGTTTTCCACATTCCCCCGCAGCGAATCGACTTTTCCGGGCAGCTAAAACTGGAAATTGCAATCATCGCGCATTTATTCGAGTGTTGTGTAACCGAAGTCTGGGAAAATGAGCGCTACGAGTGGACAAGATGCTCCAAAGAAGGCGGCGGCCTCTAATGCCATTAAGTTCTTGTTTGGCGGTTTATCAGGAATGGGAGCCACGATGGTGGTGCAGCCCCTTGATTTGGTAAGATATTGCTTGCACAAAATCCCTAACCAAATCTCCTAAGAAAACGTTTTAAATTATGCTCCCAGGTCAAGACGCGCATGCAGATCTCAGGAGCTGGCAGTGGCAAGAAGGAGTACCGAAGCTCCCTTCACTGCATTCAGACCATTGTTAGCAAGGAAGGACCTTTGGCTTTGTACCAGGGCATTGGAGCTGCTCTGCTGAGACAGGCCACCTACACCACTGGAAGGCTGGGAATGTACACCTATCTGAATGATCTCTTCCGTGAACGCTTCCAAAGGGCTCCTGGCATAACGGACAGCATGGCCATGGGAACCATCGCCGGCGCCTGTGGTGCCTTTATAGGAACCCCAGCGGAGGTGGCGCTGGTGCGCATGACCTCCGATGGCCGGTTACCAGTTGCTGAGAGGAGGAACTACACGAACGTGGCCAATGCTCTGGCTAGGATCACCAAGGAGGAGGGCATTACGGCTCTCTGGAGGGGCAGTCTTCCCACTGTGGGTCGCGCCATGGTCGTGAACATGACCCAACTGGCCAGTTACTCCCAGTTCAAGACATACTTCCGCAACGGACCCCTGAAAATGGAGGAGGGCATCAAGCTGCACTTCTGCGCCAGCATGTTGAGTGGCCTGCTGACCACAATCACTTCCATGCCGCTGGACATTGCCAAGACCCGAATCCAGAACATGAAGACGATCAATGGCAAGCCGGAGTACCGCGGCACTGCCGATGTCCTGTTGAGAGTGGCCCGTCAGGAGGGAGTCTTCGCTCTGTGGAAGGGATTCACCCCCTACTACTGCCGCTTGGGTCCGCACACTGTGCTGACCTTCATCCTGCTGGAACAGCTCAACCAGGGCTACAACAAGTACGTTCTGGGCGTGAACAAGAGCACTGGCCTGTAAATTCAACCATATGAACAAACCATTAACGAACGATGAAACATGCGTGTATATACAACGTTAAGTTTGAAACAAACTTAGGGCATTTAAATGTCGGCAATTCCGGTGACAATATTACATGATAACGACTAGCTTGAATGTTGAAACAGTTTTTTGTAGCGCCATAAGTATAAAGTGGATTCTCAATAAAGCACAAAATGTTATAAAAACAGGTTAGTTTTTATTTGAAATGGGCGTAGCAAGTTGAAGGTTTAAAACCAAATGGAAACGAGTGTTGTGCTTAAATTGAGGAAGGATTTTATTGGCCTAACTACTTCTCTCATTTCTAGCAAGAGTGCTATCAATTGTTTTATTTTTAGCATTTTATTTTAGGTTCTTGGTAGTATGTTATCACCCGTATTATGTAGAGAACTTAACCTGTTTTGGCGTGTGTCTGACTATTCAACCGCTATCTGGATTTCAAAGTCACGTCAGGTTGCCAACTCCCAAGCTTGTTGCTGTTTCGTCATGTGTTTGAAGTGGGTGTTGTTGGCCCGCCCATATGTTGTTTTTGCATACTAATTATATTCCATATGCCGATGTATGCAAAAGACACCTTTCCGACACCCTGCTGTTCTCATGTGTAGCTACTGTTTGCTTTATTCCGCTGATAAACGTTATCACCGGCTTATTGCTGTTCTTCGTTTGCCGGTGCAAAGTATAAATCCCAACGATAAACTCTGGCGCTGAAGATTGCATATTTGTTTTCCGTTCCCCTTCCATCGACAGATTTCGCTTTCATTGATAAGAAAACAGGCTGATTACCTTTGTCAAAGTTGTAGTTTAATAAACAGTGCTGCCATAAAGTGAGTGCTCGGTTTGAATTCCAGTTAAGCAGCCATATATCGTGGCTTTTCTGTTTTGATTGGTTCAGCTTTATGACAGTCGATAATTGGATTATTTAATTTGCTTTAGTTGATGAATTGCCACAGTCAGTCAAAGAAGCTCAAAGCCAAACCACAAAAAATTTAATTTACATTTTTTTTGGTTGCCAACGCTTTTCAGTTGGCGAATTTTTATTTATTACAAAGTGGCCATAAAAATCCTCGCGAGAATTTATTTAAAAAGTTTTTTATTATGCCATAAGTTTGTTAACTGAAGCGTTACATTTTTCGTGTGGCAAAAGTGGGTTTTCGGGGGTCGGGGTTTTTAAGGGGGTTATAATAAGCGAGAATTACCCGAAGCCAAGGGCAAGAATCGCATATTAAATTTGTTTTATTTGAATTTAGTAGAGAGGGCAGAGGCTCAGACTGAGTTTTGCCGCTTACCAAATAGTATTTGGGTAATAAAATGATTTCAGCTTGGCCAGCATTTAACCACTCCCCCCATCCCCTTCGTTTCCCCTCCAGCTGGTACAACAAATCAAAAGTTTATCTCGTAAATAAATGAGCAAAATCTTACTTGACCACAGGGCGCAGGGTTTGCCTGTATTAAAAAATGTTCCTGCACTTGCTCACGGAGGGCAAAGCTTCCTACTTCGAGATACTTTCTCGGCCCCTCGTTTTCCCACAAAGTTTAAGCCGGCACTTGCTAAAGATTCTGTGGGATATTAGTTATCCTTTGGCTCCAGTACTTTGGGGTAATTAAAGATAGCCGAGGGCGAGCTAAGTAAGTGGCTTCATTAGGGGAAAAATAACGAACTTTGCGGCATGTTTGAATTAGAAAAGGATCTTAACGATGGGAAAATGAGAAGCTTATAGATTTCGAACATTTTAAATGAAAAACAAAATTCTTCAGCCAACAATGTGGTTTTTAGATTCAGAACATATACCGAAACTAGAACTTAACAAGAAAGGAAGCTAGCTTCGGCGATTCGATGCTTATATACGCTTGCAGTCATCGCAAATGTCGAGAAGGAGAATTTAAAAAATGTAGCTTCTTTGACAATGAATTCGGCACTTGATGAACTTAAAGCAATGAAAGCCGCAACTGTCAGCGCCTATTTAACATGCAATTTTTAATTAACACTCAAAACATCAGCCCGCCAGACAGGAAAATAGATGGGGAAACTGGAGAGGGCCGTGTAAATGTAATTAATTCAATGTCCCACACGAACAGCGAAGCCAATTCAACCAAAACCAGCCACCCACACTCTTTCGCCCACCCACACATTCAAACGAACTTCAATTAGAGACCAATACAGCGACCCATCGACAAGTTATCTTTGCTTTTGGCCTTTGGAAAATCGGTCCGAATTTCGTGGAACTCTTTTCAACGACCACATCTGCCACCATTGAAAATACCCTTTTGGATGAAAAAGGTCAATCTAGTACCAGGAATAAATATTTATTTCGGATTAGGATTCAAGATTTAATTATTTTAATGTTTTCATTTATACATAAAGCCGCCTGTTAAGCGTTGTAAAATATTTACTCTCAATAAGCAGAAGTCAAATTGCACAATTATTAGAAAACCAATAAATATAAAATAGTTTTACACAATTAGCTGTATACATTTTGCCAATCGAGTTCATGGATTTTGTAAACGGGTTCTATAATAAAAAGAGTTATTCACTTGTATGTTTTTGTTTGAATGTTAATATTTAATCCGTTATATATGTACAAAGTATTATGAATAAAGTATAATGAATAGAAATTGAACGTATTATTAAATGTAAGAGTATTGCACGGTGCCAAATTCCTGAATCTTTTCGATATATGCATGTTTTACTTTTTGAAATTCAGCCCGATTGATTTTGGTATTAATGCGTTTTCGACCGCCCAAGGGAGCCTCCACCAATCGATCGGGATATCGGAGGACGGAGAGGATGTGGGTGCAGTGGCTCAGGGACTAGCGGTTGAATTGGTTTTGGGATCGGGAAGCGCCATGCCACGCGGACGTGGCCAAAAGCACAGCGGGTGGGGCGTTGGTTCTCCCGCGGTCATGGCTCATAATTCAGCGTTTTCAGTTAACTGGATGGCTGGTTTGGTTTTGGCCCGATTTCGGCTTTGGCTTTCGGCTGGTTTGCCGGCCATTTGGCGCTCGTATTGTTTTTCCTCTGCTCTTTAGTTACGCTAATTGCAATACGATGCTGAGTGGAGTGGAGTGGAGTTGAGCAGATCTCTCGGCCCAAAGCGTTAAACTAATTGCTTTTGCAAAACCATTTGAAACGCGTAACTTTTTCAATTTATCTATTTAGCGATGCGGCCCGGCCTTCGTCGTTTGCGAATATTTGCAGACAATGTCCCCTCCACTTGAGTGTTCTGTAACAAGGGCGCGGATTTATCATAAGCAAGGACAATGCCATTGCACTTTCAGATGAACACACTCTAAGAAACATTTTTTACTTCATGAAATTGATTGCAAGTAATTACATTCTGACACATTCTTATTTAAATTCTTTTACATGGTATGCTGAATTTCTATTCAAGCACAACTACTTTAAGCAGAAATTCGTGTTAATGAATTTCAGTCTAAATTTAGGATTGAATTCCATAAATTTTGTGTTGTCTTTTCACGACCGATAAAATGTGAAAGCAAAGCAGACAGTCTTTCCAGGAATAACCGCTGTTGAATTTAAAATTAAATTTTTTCTGGTTTTAAATCAATTCCATAACTTGTTAAATAAATGCAAGAAAATTCAGTAGGATGTGGTCTGCGTTTTACGAGTTTACCAACCAGTTTGTTTCTGTGTGCAGCTCTTGGCAAAAATGTTGCCAAAGAGAGGGAGCGAAACAGGGACACCGCCAGCGGAAACGGAAATGCAGAACAACTGCTGGCTGTGTTCGAGCGCTGTTTCTATATTTTTTCCCCTGGCTGTTGCTGCGTCGCCAACCCGAATTTCCTCTGCAACTTCCGTTTTCCCATTAGGCGGTGTACATAAAAACGTTGAACCAGCAGCGCTCGAGATTTATCCAACTAGAAGGCAGACAAGTAGTGCTCATCGCACGCAAAACTTTGCTGCCGGCTGAAAGTTTTTAAATTGATTAGTTTGTAGCCATCGTAGGAGGTTTCTGAGGGATCCCCTGGAACTGGAACTGCAGCTGAATCCTTCGGATCCCACCAGCCCTGGCCCACCGGCATTAGCCAAGTGGCTGCATTTCAATTAGCCCAGGCCCAGCGTACATGTTTATAGGAGGATCAACAGGGGAGGCTATCTAGACCTCAAAGTTTGCCAAGACTTTCAGCTCCTTGTCTGCTCAATTAAATGCACTGCAAACTTTCGAAAGTGTTGATTTCCCTTCGCGGTGCTTAAAGGATTTTTTGGAATACAGTATATGTGGCGCAAATATAATTGGCTTGCAAAAAAGTGCAATAAATATATGTCCCTAATAAAACTATTTCCTTATAAGAGTGAAACACATATCAGTTGTAGAAAAGTTTCCCTAGCAAGAAGCCATTTAGATACATAGCTAAGTTTCCCTGTACTTTAAGATGGCCCTTAAATAAGTGCCTGATTTCCTCAAGGATCACACAAAAACCAACTCTTTCGCCACTTGCTTAGATAATTCTTGAAGTGGTTTTGGGCCCGAAAGATTGGCTAACCTAGGCAGGAAGTTCTTTAATGTATTGGTTCCTTTTACTTTATCAAGTATCCGCCCCGTTCGGAAGTTTTCCGCAGGATTCCCTGAGCCCTCTTTTGTTTTGACGTGTCCTGTCATTTTGTGGTGACTTCTTTTTAGGGGTTTCCGCTTGCCTTTTGTATGAGTTCTTACAGTTATTTAGTGAAAATTGTCATTTGTCAGGCTGGGCTCAGCCACGCCCCCTAACCCAGAAACCTCAAAAGATATATATGTATATATATTCGTATATATGCATGGATGGGGGAAAAAAAGCGAGCAAACTCGAAGCGAACTTTTCTATTGACTGGCAAAAAGTTTTCAACATGCTCAGCTTTTATTAATGCGCTCTCAAGACCTTGCACACTCTTATTTATCTAAAAATCCCAGTTACTTCGCCCATTTCCCGCCAGTTTTTCCCTCAGTTTTCCCCCTGCGAAGTTTCCCTTGTTTCAACTTTCGCTTTGATTTTGCACTCGCTCTCCGTAAATTGGCTCACGGAAAGTTGCAGAGGAAAAGCGAAGGGAGGGGCTTCCGTGCCCCACATTCGAAAGCAATTTTTAATTCAGTTTTTTTTTTCCGCTTGATTCCATTTAACAGTCGCGCTTATGTTGAATGCATTTTAATTTATTTAATTGAATTCAATTTGTTACAAATTGCCGACGAGTCGC